TTACTTTGATAGTAGATTCGGCCATGGAGACAAGTTGAGAGAATTGAATGACACTGCTAGGTTTTTAAGTTTTCAATGAAGATATTTTTCAATTTTAGGTATTTAGGAAGAAAGGTATTTGTAATCTTCTTCTTTTTTTTTTGTGAATTTTAATTCGACCGACAATTTCAAAAAAAATAGAATAATTATGTGGGCCCCCGAGGCTCATGAAAGAAACAGAAGATCGTCCAAGAAGCACAAACATGTCGGTTCTTCTTAAGTTTGGGTCTTGAGAAACGATATTCCTCAAAAAGATGGAGCTGTGAGGAAATACCCGTTAGGACAAACATATCGTTTTCTTGAGGAATACCCGTTATCTGATTTCCTCACAGCTTCATCTTACAAAGAAAGACCAAAACAAATCAAGATCTCTTAACATTATTTTATACAGATATGAAGTTATGTCCTCTAACTCTAAGTATAGCTAGCAAAATTTTAATTTTAAGCATAAACTTATTGAAGATCTCTCAGGAGATCGATATGGTCTAATCCCAACAGGGCAAAAGAATGCTCATCAACTTCCTCAACAAGACAAGCCAAAGTCTCCGTCTTGAGTAACAAGTAATCGTCCTTTTCACTCTAGCTAGGCAACCAAATTGAGACAAAATCTGAGAAATGTAAATTTGTGTCCCTAGGGGAGATAATGCTTTTTGTCTACCTAATCAATCGAATAATGAACAAGGCATATAACGATTATAGAGCTTCCTTTTAACGTACAGCTAAAAACATCATACTTAGGTAATAAGGAAGTCATATGATGATTATTAAAGTTAGCTAGTTAAAAACACCAAAGAGAAAGCTTCTACTCCTTAGCCATCTTAGCCCTCTTAACCTTCTGGATATACCAATCTAAAACAAACCACGGATTAATGAGAGAATTTTAATCTCTTTTTTTTTTTCGTTAAAAAGAATCGAGAATCAAGAGCAAACTTATGTACCTGGGATAGTATAGCCAGTAGACTGATTGCCACGAAGTCTTTTTGCCTGAATATGCTTTTTAGCTACAAACTTACATCCTTTCACATCATCACATTCACATCCACTAAGCTTCACCGCCTTTTCTACTGCGCCTTCTCCCTTGATATATATAAATCCTAGCTGTGCTTTTACTGTAAAAATCAACAAAGACAAGTCTTTAGTAATTAGCATTTTCATAACATGAGATAAGTTGGGGGGGAAATGGAGGAAGAAATTCACAAACCTTTGCAAAATGAACATCACACCTTGAAACACCTCGCCACATGAGGAGAAATGTTTAACTAGGGCTACCTTGATAAGGTCCTTAGGAAGGGAAGTGTCATATCCCGTAACATCAACCTTATATAATGAGAGGATGTTATCAAGCATGACAAGTACAGATATTACGAATACAAGATCTCCAAAAACAATAAGTCTACTTACCAGCCTGATCCGTTGCAGCGGGATGTGGAACTCTTAGCCCTAGCACCCAATTCAGGAGTCGTTTCTCCAATGGCTACATCATCACTAGATTCACGATCTTTCAATTCCAGCAATTTCATCCCCTAAGGTATCAAAGATCTAATCAGTATTCGTATTCTACTACTACGAATACTTTTTGTCAATACAGATTAAAGAGTGAGACAGAAGAAAGCTATAAGGAGGAGAAGAAGAAGATTACTCTGATGGTGGATTCGTCCATGGCGAAGTTGCGTGAAGAACGAACGATTGCTAGGTTTTTGAGAGGCAAATAACCTTGAAGATATTTTCCACTTTTAGGGATTTAGGTTAAGAGACCGTTGAGGGGAGTTGCGATGGGGAAGAAGAAAAGGGGAACGCGAGCATAGCACATACAAAATTAATATAAAGTTAATAAATCTAGATTTCTATATTACTTTCTGTACAAATATATTTCCTTTATATGTTATAGTTGAATAGGAAACTTTACATTATTTTGGTGATGAAAAAACAATAAGAAATCTAGCTAGATAGATTTTGTATATATTGTGTATGGTATTTGCGTTGACGTGTTTCATGATGTAGATAGATTTTAATACTTGAAATACGATCATCACATTCGTACCATTTTTATTTTTCATACCTTTTTATAATTAATCTTCTACCGAAAGTTTGTTGAGGTCAAGAAAGTAGAAACAGAAGATTCATGTAATTAAATGGCTAATAATTATCTTTTTTGTTGCTGACCTTCTCGCCATCATTAGTGTTCATGGAGGATCATTTAAAAGAGAAAAATGAAGTTAACCTTTTGTTACAACTAATTAAACCTTAAGCAATAAGGAAAGGTCTTTTTTTTTTTGTCACAGGTCTTTATCTATTTTGTTTTTTTTTTTTGCTCGTCAACAGAAGTTTGGAAGAAACATCTCTAGAGATAAAAACAAAAACAAAAAAAGATTTTTTAAAAATTTTAGAATCAACAAAATCTAAGTAATGCCATGGATATATCTTGTGTATGATTTTATAGTTTATTTGATCTCTCTATGTGGGGCTTCGTTTAATGCAAAATTATAATAATCAAAAGATAATAACTTCTAGTCTTCTACACTTTGGTTTTGGGGTGGCTAGAGATATGATAAATACTACAAGAGAACTAATGAGGATTGTACCAAACACATAATTAATAAGTATATGTGGAAATTGTAATTGCGCTGCGCATGACTGACCACTCCTTGGTTAAATGTCAACTAATGCAGCCGACATCCACTTACTATGATCTCCTTTGAGGTTGCATTATAAATATTTAACATATTTCATGTGAAGACATTTTTTTCTTTTTT